AGTTTTCGTATTTCCATTTTTTCAGAAACAATCTGATAAAAAAATGACTACTACCATTACACAGTAATTAAAAACCAGGTCAACTTTATCTTTCCTCAACTGTTTATTAGAGATTTGTTTCAAAAGCAAGGCAACTTGATCTACGTCATAAATTAATTTAAAGACTGGTACCAAGTGGTTTAAGCTTTAAAATGTCATAAAATAAGGTAGACAACCATTGAAAGTCCTCTCTTTTGGTGGTTCAGGTTGCCTTTCAGAAACACTTAAAAAAATATGGATGGTGGGTGTTTTGAGAGGCTATTTATAAACACATTACATTGAATGTTTTAATAACAATTTGTGTGTGTTAGACTGGAGTGAAAACATATATTGTGGACATTCCACAGAAACATTTTATGGAGATTTGAAGACGGCATGGCAGGAAGGCTTTGAAACCAAGACCTACACATTTGTTGAAAAGACTTGGATCATTTGACGGATATTTATTTCCATTTATGGTGAGTGTCACATTGCAGACACTTACGTTGTCAAACGGCCCACATCATGTCGCATCACCCGTTTACGTATTACCATGGAAATTTACGTTTTACCACGATGTCATATTGACCTGTCAGATCTCTAATCGAACCTTCACCCACTGAGAGTGTGGTAGTTCCTACCACAAAGGCCGCTTTGAGTGATCCCTGTTTAGACATTGTTGTTGGACATGGGTTTTAGGGGCCAGCCATTTGATATTGGAGTGAGTGAGTATGGTTTTACGCCGCTTTTAGCAATATTCCAGCAATAACACGGCGGGGGACACCAGAAATGGGCTTCACACATTGTACCCATGTCGGGAATCGAACCCGGGTCTTCGGCGTGACGAGTGAACGCTTTAACCACTAGGCTGCCAGTCCGCCCCCATTTGATATTGGAAGAGGTGGAGGATATGGGTTTAAAATGTGTTCCTGAAAATGCTGGACAAAATGTTTCTCCTGCTCCCCAAAATGGACATGCAGGATGTTCTGAAAAGTAAAGTGGTGGATCCTCCATTCAGGGAACTGTATTGTACGTCTTGAAGCACTTGAACCACCAATCCCAGCGCTCTTAGTGGTGGATCCTCCATTCAGGGAACTGTATTGTACGTCTTGAAGCACTTGAACCACCAAGCCCAGCGCTCTTAGTGGTGGATCCTCCATTCAGGGAACTGTATTGTACGTCTTGAAGCACTTGAACCACCAATCCCAGCGCTCTTAGTGGTGGATCCTCCATTCAGGGAACTGTATTGTACGTCTTGAAGCACTTGAACCACCAAGCCCAGCGCTCTTAGTGGTGGATCCTCCATTCAGGGAACTGTATTGTACGTCTTGAAGCACTTGAACCACCAAGCCCAGCGCTCTTAGTGGTGGATCCTCCATTCATGGAACTGTATTGTACGTCTTGAAGCACTTGAACCACCAAGCCCAGCGCTCTTAGTGGTGGATCCTCCATTCAGGGAACTGTATTGTACGTCTTGAAGTACTTGAACCACCAATCCCAGCGCTCTTAGTGGTGGATCCTCCATTCAGGGAACTGTATTGTACGTCTTGAAGCACTTGAACCACCAAGCCCAGCGCTCTTAGTGGTGGATCCTCCATTCAGGGAACTGTATTGTACGTCTTGAAGCACTTGAACCACCAAGCCCAGCGCTCTTAGTGGTGGATCCTCCATTCAGGGAACTGTATTGTACGTCTTGAAGTACTTGAACCACCAATCCCAGCGCTCTTAGTGGTGGATCCTCCATTCAGGGAACTGTATTGTACGTCTTGAAGCACTTGAACCACCAAGCCCAGCGCTCTTAGTGGTGGATCCTCCATTCAGGGAACTGTATTGTACGTCTTGAAGCACTTGAACCACCAATCCCAGCGCTTTTAGTGGTGGATCCTCCATTCAGGGAACTGTATTGTACGTCTTGAAGCACTTGAACCACCAAGCCCAGCGCTCTTAGCGGTGGATCCTCCATTCAGGGAACTGTATTGTACGTCTTGAAGCACTTGAACCACCGATCCCAGCGCTCTTAGTGGTGGATCCTCCATTCAGGGAACTGTATTGTACGTCTTGAAGTACTTGAACCACCAATCCCAGTGCTCTTTATGGTGGATCCTCCATTCAGGGAACTGTATTGTACGTCTTGAAGTACTTGAACCACCAATCCCAGCGCTCTTAGTGGTGGATCCTCCATTCAGGGAACTGTATTGTACGTCTTGAAGTACTTGAACCACCAATCCCAGCGCTCTTAGTTGTGGATCCTCCATTCAGGGAACTGTATTGTATGTCTTGAAGCACTTGAACCACCAATCCCAGCGCTCTTAGTGGTGGATCCTCCATTCAGGGAACTGTATTGTACGTCTTGAAGCACTTGAACCACCAATCCCAGTGCTCTTAGTGGTGGATCCTCCATTCAGGGAACTGTATTGTACGTCTTGAAGCACTTGAACCACCAATCCCAGCGCTCTTAGTGGTGGATCCTCCATTCAGGGAACTGTATTGTACGTCTTGAAGTACTTGAACCACCAAGCCCAGCGCTCTTAGTGGTGGATCCTCCATTCAGGGAACTGTATTGTACGTCTTGAAGTACTTGAACCACCAATCCCAGCGCTCTTAGTGGTGGATCCTCCATTCAGGGAACCGTATTGTACGTCTTGAAGCACTTGAACCACCAATCCCAGCGCTCTTAGTGGTGGATCCTCCATTCAGGGAACTGTATTGTACGTCTTGAAGCACTTGAACCACCAATCCCAGCGCTTTTAGTGGTGGATCCTCCATTCAGGGAACTGTATTGTACGTCTTGAAGTACTTGAACCACCAATCCCAGCGCTCTTAGTGGTGGATCCTCCATTCAGGGAACTGTATTGTACGTCTTGAAGCACTTGAACCACCCATACCAGCGCTCTTAGTGGTGGATCCTCCATTCAGGGAACCGTATTGTACGTCTTGAAGCACTTGAACCACCAAGCCCAGCGCTCTTAGTGGTGGATCCTCCATTCAGGGAACTGTATTGTACGTCTTGAAGCACTTGAACCACCAAGCCCAGCGCTCTTAGTGGTGGATCCTCCATTCAGGGAACTGTATTGTACGTCTTGAAGCACTTGAACCACCAAGCCCAGCGCTCTTAGTGGTGGATCCTCCATTCAGGGAACTGTATTGTACGTCTTGAAGCACTTGAACCACCAAGCCCAGCGCTCTTAGTGGTGGATCCTCCATTCAGGGAACTGTATTGTACGTCTTGAAGCACTTGAACCACCGATCCCAGCGCTCTTAGTGGTGGATCCTCCATTCAGGGAACTGTATTGTACGTCTTGAAGTACTTGAACCACCAATCCCAGTGCTCTTTATGGTGGATCCTCCATTCAGGGAACTGTATTGTACGTCTTGAAGTACTTGAACCACCAATCCCAGCGCTCTTAGTGGTGGATCCTCCATTCAGGGAACTGTATTGTACGTCTTGAAGCACTTGAACCACCAATCCCAGCGCTCTTAGTGGTGGATCCTCCATTCAGGGAACTGTATTGTACGTCTTGAAGCACTTGAACCACCAATCCCAGCGCTCTTAGTGGTGGATCCTCCATTCAGGGAACTGTATTGTACGTCTTGAAGCACTTGAACCACCAATCCCAGCGCTCTTAGTGGTGGATCCTCCATTCAGGGAACTGTATTGTACGTCTTGAAGCACTTGAACCACCAATCCCAGTGCTCTTAAATGGTTGGCCCGATAGTAAGTAGCCAAAAAGCCAGAGGAAAAGCTGCTGACACAAAAAATAATGAACCATGATGCAGTTGTAATTACTTCCCCGAGAAACTGACATTAACTCCTCACCGGGCAGCTCACCAGGCAGCTGGTGATGAATAGGATTGGAAGCTCTGAAACTTGACTGTTGTATTTGATATCGCAACATGAATATTGCTTAATGTGGTACCATAAGTTTGCCTCAGCTAAATATTCACCTGGACATTTTGTTGTCATGGTAGCATATGAGACCATCCATTGTTTCATGACATCATCCATTGTTCCATGACACCATCCATTGTTCCATGACACCATCCATTGTTCCATGACATCATCCATTAATCCATGACACCAACCATTGTTCCATGACACCAACCATTGTTCCATGACATCAACCATTGTTCCATGACACCAACCATTGTTCCATGACATCAACCATTGTTCCATGACATCATCCATTTTTCCATGCTGTTAATTGTTCCATGACATCATCCATAGTTCCATTACACCAACCATTGTTCCATGAAATCATCCATTGTTCTATGACATCATCCGTTGTTCCATGACATCCATTGTTCCATGACATCATCCATTGTTCCATGACTCCATCCATTGTTCCATGACATCCATTTTTCAGTGACGCTATCCATTGTTCTAGGATATCATTCCAGAGTTACTGCCTGTCTGTCTTTCAGCTGTTTGAGTACATAGAGACACGAGAGACAAAATTATCAGTAACCATTTGTATATACAGTGTTGATTTGATTTCAGATTTGATTTTATATCAGAAATCCATAAAGTAGCATTGCATTCAATGCAACAATGTAAAACTAGGCAAAATGGCCTCTTCCTCTTTAGTGGTCCTGTTATCATTGAAATACAAGTCACCTCAACAAAGCCATAACAGTAGTTGAAAAACAGGAATTGGAAATTTTAATCATTCCTATTTAGTAATGTTTACTGAGAGTTGCAGCAGACAAATAGCGGCCTGTGAACAGTCTAGAATAATCCCATAACATTTTGACGTCCACTGTTTAGGTTGATTTGTATTGTGTATTCTGACCAATATACTGAATATTTGACTATTAGCTTCTGTTGGGTAAGGATATGTCAAATCAGCTGTTTCAATCAGAGGTGATTATTGTGATTTGAAACCTCTGATTTTCAGAAGTCATGGAAGAATCATTGTCATTTGGAAATTTGACAAGAACACAAGACTGTTTCATGTGTGTATGTGTGACATTGTTGTCTGCAGATGGAGAACATCATCAGTGGAATCAAGGACACCAACTTGAAGCTGACGTTGGCATTCGGCATTGGCATCCATCATGCTGGGCTGGTGGAGAGAGATCGCAAGATCTGCGAGGAGCTCTTCGTCAACCAGAGAATACAGGTGAGTTTGAAATAGAATACAATGAATGTGGACCAGAGAATGGCGGTGAGTTGGACCAGAGAGTACCATCTTCCCAAGGCAAGGAAGTTAACAGACTATAAAAGTCCAGTTTCCATCCTTGCCGAACTAGGCTGGAATTATGGAATTATATTTTGGCTAGACTAACGAGTCTATGCATAGTCCAATCAAAATCGCTTAACTGGACCTTTACAGTCAGTTGACTCCCTTGCTCTCAGGAAGATGAGAGAGTACCCGTGTGATGGACAGGGAATACCCTGAGTGGTTACAGTATATGACAGCGTTACCTGTATCAGCGTACCCTGAGGTGAGGATCATAAAGATGAGTGTCTGGAGGATATAGATGGTCCAGTGATGTCTGTAGGATATAGATCATCCAGGGATGTCTGTAGGATAAAGATGGTCCAGTGATGTCTGTAGGATGTAGATGGTCCAGTGATGTCTGTAGGATATAGATGGTCCAGTGATGTCTGTAGGATGTAGATGGTCCAGTGATGTCTGTAGGATATAGATGGTCCAGTGATGCCTGTAGGATATAGATGGTCCAGTAATGTCTGTAGGATGTAGATGGTCCAGTGATGTCTGTAGGATATAGATGGTCCAGTGATGTCTGTAGGATATAGATGGTCCAGTGATGTCTGTCTGTATGATAGAGATGGTCCAGTGATGTCTGTAGGATATAGATGGTCCAGTGATGTCTGTAGGATATAGATGGTCCAGTAATGTCTGTAGGATGTAGATGGTCCAGTGATGTCTGTAGGATATAGATGGTCCAGTGATGTCTGTAGGATATAGATGGTCCAGTGATGTCTGTCTGTATGATAGAGATGGTCCAGCGATGTCTGTAGGATATAGATGGTCCAGTGATGCCTGTAGGATACAGATGGTCCAGTGATGTCCAGGATTCCCCGCTACGTGTGGTTCAGACTTGTGCTGGAATATTTCATCATCGTGAAGAACCTAGTGTGACCACAGTGGACATTCCTTGTAATCTAATCGCACATCTGGGAAGATGAACCCTGAGGAACAGGACTGTGTTGCCACCATGTTGTATCGTCTCTCTATGTCTGACCTGTTGCCACCATGTTGTATCGTCTCTCTATGTCTGACCTGTTGTCTGACCTGTTGCCACCATGTTGTATCGTCTCTCTATGTCTGACCTGTTGTCTGACCTGTTGCCACCATGTTGTATCGTCTCTCTATGTCTGACCTGTTGTCTGACCTGTTGCCCTCTCCCTGTCAGGTACTCATTGCAACCAGTACTCTCGCCTGGGGAGTCAACTTCCCCGCTCATCTTGTGGTTGTCAAGGGAACCGAGTACTTTGATGGGAAGACCAGGAGATATGTCGACTTCCCCATCACAGGTAAGAATTCTTCAGTATACAGTTGCTCTCCTATTTCTGTATTTCCCAATCCCGTAAGGTTGGTTTCTATGTTACAGGGTCAATGGATCAATGTTGGGGGATTTTATGGAACTTCGTTCAATTTCTTTTTGTGTTTTTATATATGAATATTTTTCTTCTTTCTATAAATGTCTGTGATGAATTTAAGAATAATACTTATTGTTCCCTGTTCGGTCATTTGAAAGATGACTGACTTTGATCAGTTGCTGTGTGGGTTGTTCATGAAGTGTGGTATCGGTGTGCCTAGCGAGCAGGATCTCCTCCAGAAAGTGAATAAAGAAACTGCTCTTGAATATAAACACTGACAATGACTAAGGAATTCAAACAATAAACTAATCTCATGCAGACCAACAGGAGTACATATCTCATCATTGTACAAGATATTATCTCAGTTAAAATCAAATTCAAAATTGTCATATAATTTCATCATGGTTTGATAATGGACATGTTCACTGTATATAAAACACAGTCAATGTATATCAGCACCCATCTAAAGTATGTCATGAAAAAATGTCAAATATTTGTAACAAGCCTGTAGTTATTGAAGAGATAAGAGTAAATGGTCAAAGGGAGACAACTCTTGCCTGCCCTCCTTGATGGCTTAGTAGGGAGGTACACTCAGTGTCTGAGAAAAAGCAGCAGGTTTTCTGTGAGGATGATTCAGTGACCAGGTATGCAGCTTGGAAGCATGCTGTACAAACTCTCACTCAAACTCAGATGTGTAGCGATGACATCACACACATTGGACCGCGATTAACCGCGCCGCCCGCATGTTTCAGACGTACTACAGATGATGGGGCGGGCCGGCCGGCCGCAGTTCGATGACCAGGGCAAGGCGGTCATCTTGGTTCATGACATCAAGAAACATTTCTACAAGAAGTTCCTCTATGAACCGTTCCCTGTTGAATCCAAGTAAGACATTCTGCTGCAAATAGTGTCAAAGTCTTCATTGATTAGAGAACATAAGTTTTGAAAAGTTACAAGGTTTTAAGTTCAATGAAGTTTTCTCATTTTTTCATGTTTTCACACTGATTATTACAATAAGTTCTGAGACTTATTTTCAAATTTGTATGTCTAAACGTATTCACATCAACTGATCATCTTCTTAAGCTTGTCCCTCCCTCTCATAGGATTTGTAATACCTTGTCGTTTGTATGTTTGTATGTACCTTCACATGACTTGTATGAGTCACTCACCAGAAGTGATAAGGTGATGGTGTTACCACTGATGAACCCAAACCTTGCCGTCACGGCAGTGCATGGGAGACACACACACACCCCGGGACTGGATTGCTGCAATACCTTTCCGTTGATTGTAAACCTTTTATGATTACATGAACTTTGGACACACATACTCCATAGAGTAGAGGGAGTCTGTCAAAAGTAATGATTTACCTGTACAAGATAACTAATGAACTCTTTTGAGTGATTGGAATATAATTGTTGTTTGTGCTCAGAGTGAGGCATGATGGACCAAGGTACTTGCTTTTACCCCGAGGTTAGAATAGGTCCAGAGCAACCTCTACTGGTCCATGAGTTGACCTCAGCAGGTGGTAGGACTTGTTGACTTGTTTGAAAGCATGTCCTCATACCCTGATGGTGTAGATGTTGCTCACAATATCAATCACTGGATTGACTGATCTAGAGTTGTGTATTTACAGGCTGCCATCATATGGCTGGAATATTGCTGAGTACCGTATTCGATGTAATAAGCGCCCTGCTCGTATAAGCGCCCACAGCGATATTTGCTAATATATTGGCTAGTGAACAATCCCAATTATCACCCCTTCCGATTGATCAATGTACACTTATTTATTCGTGTATGATACGCACTCTCGTGTTATATGTACCCTTAATTATGGGCAATTAAATTCTGAAAAATATATCTGTCGTGTTTAATAGGCACAGACCTTTCTTTGTATCATTTCAGGCTGTCAGCATAAACCACGAAATTTATGATCTTTCAACTCCCTCCTTTTTTCTCACCAAAATTATATTCTAATATGATTTTAATTTTAATTTTGAGAGCGCACTGGGCGCTTATTACGTCGAATACGGTATGTTCTTAAAACAACAAATAAGATTGTTCGAGTCTTGTCTCATGGTGTACAAGGTTTCTAAAGTCCAGTACACCCCGTAGTTTGGCCAAAGGGGTTGTTGTCAGCAGGGGTACTACAGAAATGTACCCGAGTCCCTAGTCCCTATTCCCAAACCAGAAACTGAAACCGGTTCATGTTGTAGTTCTGGTTCACCTGATTACGATGCATCCATGCATCGCGAAATATTGCCGGAATATCAGATTACAGTCTGAACATCCCTGTTAACGATCAGTTCCTATGCTGGAATGTATCTCCTACCACAGTATGTCAGGACTGCCATATTGAACTTAACCGTGGTTTGGCATACAGGAAGTGACGAATACCTAAAGAACCAGTTGCACGCATTGCGCCCTGCGGCGGAATGGACTCATCCTCAGGTACATTTTTGTAGTTTGAATTTGGCTAGGGTACATTTCTCTATAAAGAAACGTACCTGGGATACATTTCTGTAGTACCTGTGCCAACAACGACCCCTGCAGCCACAGTTTGGCCCAGCATTTAACTCACGACCGCAGCTCCACACAAACTCGTTCTGGAGGAGCTTGTTGAGTGAGCCGACACTGGAATGTTGGTATGAACTGGGACTGCCAACTTCTCTAGCCTCGTCCTCCCAGCACCCCTTTAACTACTAAAACTTTGTTTATTTTTCTAAAAAACAACCTTCTTTTTTTACTCCCAGTTTACTGGAAGTACTACCTGACCATCTAAATGCTGAGGTTGTTGCCGGGACGATTGCATCCAAACAGGACGCCATGGACTACATCACTTGGACATACTTCTTCAGGAGGCTGGTGATGAACCCGAGGTAGGTCATTTCTTTGTCTTGTCTTTTCAGGTTTTCTTAATTAAGAAATCAACACACATGTATTTTTTCCAGATGTATTTGTGTCAGTATGCTGTATAGTTGACTCAGCCCCATGTGGAGGGTGTTCCCGATGTATCTGTGTCAGTATGCTGTATAGTTGATTCATCCCCATGTGGAGGGTGTTCCCGATGTATCTGTGTCAGTATGCTGTATAGTTGATTCATCCCCATGTGGAGGGTGTTCCCGATGTATCTGTGTCAGTATGCTGTATAGTTGATTCATCCCCATGTGGAGGGTGTTCCCGATGTATTTGTGTCAGTATGCTGTATAGTTGATTCATCCCCATGTTGCGGCCATTACCTGGGGTGTTTATGTGTGGCATCGTTGTCACACCGAGAGACATCTACTTGCAGGACTTCTTTTACAGCAGTGCCCGTGATCCGGGTTACAAAAGGTCTTCAGCAACCCATGCTTGTCATAAGAGGCGATTATGCTGGTCGCAAGAGGTGACTAACGGAATCGGGTGGTCAGGCTCGCTGACTTTGTTGATGCATGTCATCATATCCCAATTGCGTAGAACAATGCTCAAGATATCAATCACTGGATGGTCTGATCCAGACTCGATCATTTACAGACCACCGACATATAGCTGGAATATTGCTACATCCAGCGTTAAACAACAAACACTCAAACAAACCAACTCCTTTCAGCAGACATGGATGACCAATACTTTTCTTGGTGTTTTAGAAATCAACACACATATATTTCTTCCCGATGTATCTGTGTCAGCATGTTGTATAGTTGACTCATCCCCATGTGGAGGGTGTTCCCTGGTGTGTTTGTGTGTGACATTCTTGTCACACCGAGGCACATCAACTTTTACTTCCTTTACAGCAAACATGGACGACCAGTACATATACAGCTCCAGTTTTAAAGGGGGACTGTGCTCTACAGTGCCCTTTGTCTGCAGTTTTAGACATTATGTTCCATGTGTGAAACGTTGACATTGTCTTTAATTATTCTGATCATTAATTGACTAATATACACCATAAAATTAACTTCCAGGCAAAACAGTTTTGTCTGAGATTTGAATCATCTTCGACTGCGAGTTAGCCAAGCCGTGTGACCCTTTGTATGGCCACATTGACCCTTTGTATGGCCACATTGACCCTTTGTATGGCCACATTGACCCTTTGTATGGCCACACTGACCCTTTGTATGGCCACATTGACCCTTTGTATGGCCACATTGACCCTTTGTATGGCCACACTGACCCTTTGTATGGCCACATTGACCCTTTGTATGGCCACATTGACCCTTTGTATGGCCACATTGACCCTTTGTATGGCCACACTGACCCTTTGTATGGCCACATTGACCCTTTGTATGGCCACATTGACCCTTTGTATGGCCACACTGACCCTTTGTATGGCCACACTGACCCTTTGTATGGCCACATTGACCCTTTGTATGGCCACACTGACCCTTTGTATGGCCACATTGACCCTTTGTATGGCCACATTGACCGCCATGTTCATTGAACCTGTCTCTCCACCACTTTATTGCCTGTGCTAATTTTAGCATCAGGTAAATACTTACAAATTAGCGATTCCAAGTGTGCCATAAATGTCAACATAAATGTTTAATTGAATTATAATTCATATGGGTGCAAGAAAGGAATTCCATGTTGATTACTGATAATGTCACATGATATATTATGTCTGGAAGCCATTCAGTACCCCTCAATGATGATCTTTACTTGTGTCATCAGCTCCAATGACAAATTTTGTATATGTAACAGCACCACAAATTATTTTAAACTTTTACTGTGGTGTTGATACAGCTGTCTAGCCGTCCTATTGTCTTCTATGCCATGGCAATAGTGTTGTTACTTATGGAGAACTTCTCGTCACAGTGATGTTGTATAACAAGTACTCGGCTTTGTCCTTAATATGACGTTGTAGCTGAGACCGTTGGGCAATAAGACCCCATGTGTATTGTGCTTACAGGCTTCGGTTCTGTCTCATGGGAGAAAACACAGTTCCTGTTATCAACACAATAGATGCTACTGACATATCGGCTACAACTTCCCTATGTCACAAGGAGTCTAACAGTACAGACAAATCAACTTTCAAATTGCCTTCTTCAGCTCTTTGAAGATGTAATGAAGTAGGAAGTAAATGAAGTAAATGAAGTAGACCTCAAACTTTTTCTTACAGGAGTCGTGTGTGTGATAATTCCATGTGATAACTACCGGGGTATCTATTTGGATAGGCAGGGATGGACAAGTTAATGCAGAGTTGTCTCCCTTTGTTATGCCGACATCTGCTGGTTTGAATCCCAGAGACACTGTGATGGCAGTTCACCAAAGTCATAAACGTCTCAGACCCGCGTCACTGTTGGCTTCCTCTAATATCCAGCTGACACACTGTGATCTAATGGAAATAATATTCAGATCGCTTTTAAACCCAAGTCACTATGTGAAAGTTATAATGTGTCTCCCGCGGGGAATTCCTGATTAGAATGGTCCCCAGCAACCTATGCTGATCATAAGGAGCGACATAATGGATGGGTTGGTTGCACATCATCATACACCGAAGATGTAGATCAATGCAAATAATATCAATCACTGGATTGTCTGGGCCAGGCTTGATTATTTACAGGCCAACAAACAACTATTAGTGTTTCACATTCCGCACAGGTGTGTGTTAGGATGTCTGATGTTCTGAACGGGCATGGGGCAGTGGGGTAGTCACATGGGGACAATGTGTGGAGCCCATTTCTAGTGTCCCCCGCCGTCATATTGCTGAAATATTGCTCAAAGTGGCATAATACCAAACTCACTCACTCACAATCAACAAGGAGGTTTTACACAGGTCCAGTAATCACAATCAACAAGGAGGTTTTCAAGTCAACATTTTATTATGCCCTAGTACAAAGATATGAATATTCATTGTCCATTCAGTCAAAGCAAAACAAGAACTCGTGATAATTAGTAAACAAAACAACTGAGACAGAATAAACAACTTGTGAATGTACCGTGGCCCCACCATCTGTGATCTGCATCAAGATGCCTTCTCAAACACAGATATTTCTCCCTTTACACTAAAACCTGGCAGCTTCATTCTGATAGAGATTTGACATGAGGTTCAGTTTCTTGTTTTTTACATTAAAGAATAATATTCAAAATTAAATTTTAATGACATTTGTTACTTTTTTGATAATTTCAAACTCTGAAAGAACTGCTTTATGGGGAAAAAATATTTCTTTTGGAAGGTAGTATCTTGGATGCATGATGTAGAGGTTTGTGGGCGCCCCCTGGTGGGTACCTGATGCAACAGATGAGACGTGAGCGATTAAAAAAACATGGAGAATGTCTTGGAATGAGAAACTAGTACACTCATTGGCACAGTATGAGAACTAGTACACCCATTGGTTGACGATGAAAACTAGTACACCCATTGGTTGACGATGAGAATTAGTACACCCATTGGTTTAATATGAAAATTAGTACACTCATTGGTATAGTATGAAAAAGTAGTATACACATTGATTGAATATTGTTACCAGTACACTCACTGGTTGAATATCGGAACCAATACACTCATTGGTTGAATATGGTATCTAGTACACTCATTGGTTGAATATGGTAACTTGTACCTCATTGGTATAGTATAACAACTAGTACACTCATTGGTTGAATATCGGAACCAATACACTCATTGGTTGAATATGGTAACTGGTACACTCACTGGTTGAATATCGGAACCAGTACATAGGATGGTTGAAGATGAGATTGGGGTTTATCTAGAGATGCTGATGAGTTGATATTCTTCTCTGCAGTCATTTCCCAATTCCTGTTGTCATAGTTACAACTAATGGTATGGCTGTGTAGAGGTGACTTGTCCTTCACGGGAAACAGGACCGGTATCGGGAAACAGGACCGGTTTAGAGGAAGAGGTTTGACAACTTAGTTTTATATCATTACATTGAATGCAATGTTGAAAAGCCTCAAAATTGAATATACAAACTTTTAAAAAATCCCAATTTTGAATTTTTCCCAATATGCTTGCAACTCCAAAAGTTAAATCTAAATTTAAATTTGTTTTAATTATTGAATGTGTTACATCGAGGTTTGAAAGAACTTACCATTGTGAAGATTTTTTAATAATGTAAAAAAGGAATAAATTTAAATCACTGAGTTTGTTGGCTCAGAAACCCTGTGTATGTTCAGAAACAGATGTCGGGATCGGATGTGGAATAAAAAGTCAATATAATGAAGGGAAGAGAAAGCTAGATATAATGAAGGGAAGAGAAGGCTAGATATAATGAAGGGAAGAGAAGGCTAGATATAATGAAGGGAAGAGAAGGCTAGATATAATGAAGGGAAGAGAAGGCTAGATATAATGAAGGGAAGAGAAGGCTAGATATAATGAAGGGAAGAGCAGGCTAGATATAATGAAGGGAAGAGCAGGCTAGATAGCGCGATGACTGATATAGGGATCCAAGCAGACATGGTGTCGGACAGAAGCCATGTTTATTGGTGCATGGAGACATGGGCGTGAGATAAGTTAATATCTACAGTGGAAGCTAGAATAAGTTATGTTTCAAATATTTACACTCTCATGACATTGTTTTGCCCTTGTTTGAGCAAATCATTCATTTCCATGTCGGCATGGCCGACACGCCAGTGTTCATAAATACAGTGCTTATGTACAACACATGGTATACAAAAATAGGGAATGATCCTTGTATCACAGACAATGTGGCATAGTTCCATCAGGGGACACAACTCCGCTTGTCCTGATGAGCTTGGTATTCTGACTAGACCATGGTTTCTCTCATGGCATGATGATGATGATGATGATGATGATGTATATAGCACTAAGATTGCACATGTTGCCCTTTGTCCTGGCAGGGAGTACAACAGTGTTGTACAGTGTCTATTTCACATGAGTAGCACATTGGCACTCTGTGGCACTCTTGTGTCACTGTGTGTAGAAATGTTTAACTTATGTCCAACAGTGTCCAACATGCTCTCTTTAACCCCTTTGAGGTTATGAGTCACTGAAAGGGTTAATCTTGCCCCTAGTGTTCACAGGCACTTGTGGTGACGTTCGTCACTTGCATATGACGTGTTGATGATGGAGATTGCTCCGCAGCTATTGATGAAGATTGTGTCAAATTCTGTGTTTCCAGTCACAATATCACACAGTATGGTCTGGACGGTATAGCGACGGCACAGCGACGGCATAGCAACGGCGTATCTATGACAGCTGTACTAACACACTTCAGCCTACCCCAGTGCTGAGCACCTGAGTCTATCTGGCAGTAGACGTAGTTGCAATGTCAGCAGTGGTAGTAGTCCACTTCCACTTTGCATGCGTTGAAGTCGCCGCTGCTGCGGAACGCTGGGTTTCTGTGATCCAGGAACTGATCTTTGTCCTGATAGTAGCGTCGCTCTTTGAACCTGGAGGAGGAAAAGTCAAAATATTTACTTATTTGAAAGACAGTTAAATATTGGTTATACTAAGACCTTGACCGAGTCTATGTTTTTATGAAAAACTGTTAAATGTTCATGCTCTCTACCGTTTGTGCTTCCAGTGTTTAACTAAGGCCAAAGGGAGAGAACTGGTTGGTAAACATTCTATGTATGGGCGTTTTTCTGGACTTTGTGCTTACACAGCATGTCAAGGCGGAGATAAACACAAGTTTCCCCATGGTGTAGACGTGAATATGAGGATGTAACATGTATCAACGTATCTTTCAGCACCGTTATTCATAAGCAAACCAGAATTTGGTTGCAAATATGGAGGTGTATTTTTGTCATACGACCAGCAGTTGCCATGGTTACTCACCATTTGATGACGAGGAGCGTGAGGAGGATGATGAGGATGACACTGAGCGTCCCGATCACACCGCCAGCGATGGCTGCTGCAACAGACAGGGCAATGTCATTATTCAGGTCACAGTTAATAATGTATATATCACACATCATGTCACAGTTAATAACATGTATATCACACATCAGGTCACAGTTAATAACGTGTATATCATGCATCAGGTCACAGTTAATAACGTGTATATCATGCATCAGGTCACAGTTAATAACGTGTATATCACACATCAGGTCACAGTTAATAACGTGTATATCATGCATCATGTCACAGTTAATAATGTATATATCACACATCAGGTCACAGTTAATAACGTGTATATCATGCATCAGGTCACAGTTAATAATGTGTATATCATGCATCAGGTCACAGTTAATAACTTGTATATCATGCATCAGGTCACAGTTAATAATGTGTATATCATGCATTATGTCACAGTTAATAACGTGTATATCACACATCAGGTCACAGTTAATAACGTGTATATCATGCATCTTGTCACAGTTAATAATGTATATATCACACATCAGGTCACAGTTAATAACGTGTATATCATGCATCATGTCACAGTTAATAACGTGTATATCATGCATCAGGTCACAGTTAATAACGTGTATATCATGCATCATGTCACAGTTAATAACGTGTATATCATGCATCAGGTCACAGTTAATAACGTGTATATCACACATCAGGTCACAGTTAATAACGTGTATATCATGCATCAGGTCACAGTTAATACGTGTATATCATGCGTCTGACTGCTGGAGGAGGTTGCACTCACCGAATGGAAGGGAGGGTTTTGTGTTGCCCTGGGTGACAAAGTCGCGGTACACTGGTATAGGTGTGGCCGTCGTGGTTGCTGTCTGGGTCATGGGAGCAGGGTTGTTGGACCTGTCCGTCAAGCCAGCGAGCAGTCGGGATGTTGTAGATTCACCTTGTTGCTTTGTAGATTTCTTTCTGTCACCGATGACTTTGGTTGTGGTGGTAGGCAGTGGTGGGAAGGCTGATGAAAGAAAAGTCACATCAATGGTTGTGTGTTTGCGAGATGCTGACAAATGGTGGGTGTGTTCTCGGCGTCAGGATGATCAGACTGAGTTGGCTTTGCTTCTGAACTTTTGGAAAACACCCTGATTTTAGTGGTGTAGTAATCTATATATGGAGTTGTGTTGTGTTGAATGTGTTGAACAATACACTAGGTAGATCTGGAGGCTTGACTAGGATGGTGTGGTAGGCTAGTGGTTAAGGTGTTGGCTTGTCAAGACCCAGGTTTGATTCCCATCACAACTCACTTACTGGGGTGACTGTGTGAGTGAGTGAGTGAGTTTGGTTTTACGCCACTTTTAGCAATATTCCAGCAATATCATGGCGGGGGACACAAGAAATGGACTTACACATTGTACCCATGTCGGGATTCAAACCGGGTCCTTGGCGTGACGAGAGAATGCTTTAACCACTAGACTACCCCACTTACTCACAAATAATGTTGCATTGTGGGTAGAGACTAGAGAGTTACATTTCAAACCTACCTTCATAATACAACCAGAATCCTTTGCTCTTGCTGTCAGACCCAGCTTGTAGTTCGATCTCCAGGAAGTTGCTGTACGTCTTGTAGGTGTCGTTGGCACGGCGACCGCACAGGGTGATGCTGTGGAACTTGTCGTTAAAGTACATCCAGTCAGCACAGTCCGTCTTGCCTTTGGGCTCCAGGTCCATGTCGATGATGTGGAGCCGGATCTGCTGGGTTGGAGCCACTTCAATGGAGGTCTTACAGTTCTGGGCCTCGTGGTAGTTGTTGGGGTACCTCGGGGTCGAGATGTACCCGTTCTGGGCTGTCAGCCTGGGAAGGCTGCAGATATCATTTGTCACAGTGGCTGAAACAAACAGGTGTTTTATTATTTTGATATTGATTTTGTGTGTTAGCTTGCTTCTGATTGGTTAAGGAGCAGGCAGTTATTTTTCATGCAGCCACCTCATGTAGCCTGCCCCGTTGAGAAATCTATCGAAACACACCCTAGGTAGCTTGCTTATCTTGCATAAGTATCGTTGAGCTGATATGAACTTCTGTTTATCTGAATGCATTGGGTGAAGGGAAGTAATTTGGTTCATATTTGTCTGTGTTTATGTTAGTGGCAGATTGTTGTCAGTTTCATCTAACTGTAGTTTAACAGTTTTCTTCGTATTTATTCTCTCAACTGAGGTCGAGATGTATGTTCAGATATGAAGGGCAAGGTTACCAGATAAACGAGCAACTTACTCCAAGAATAATTAGTAATTTCATTTCTGACCCAAATGTTGTCATTTATTACATTTAATGAAATCTTTATGTTTTTACTTTAATTTCATCTTTAGGGTTTGTAAACTACAAAATATTTACAAGTGGACCACTGAATGCTGTTATATGTTGATATTTAAAGACTTATCCCCTGCTCAGTGAACATACAGCTTTAACTGAAAGTACGGAGAAATTGATACTTTCAGAATATGAAATTAATAATCAAATTTCGCAAATACCTGTGAGAGCAATAGTAAGATCTTATCTGTTTACTCCGTTAACTAACCTTTATTCGAATGCATAATGTATCATATTAAACATATTTTTGTCTGTAATTTTTTAGAATGGCATTCTTCTGAATTCCTAAAAACTGTGTATCGCGGTTGGCCGAGATTACCAAGATAGTGCCTGTCTGTGTAAAACGTCATCCTCCAGGAGAACGTAGATTGTAGAAAGAGAAATGACTAATAACGTAGTCAAGATCTGTGATAACGCGTAGACATCACTCTTGCATGTCTTCAGGGTGGAGATAGTGTTATGACTGCACTGTTTGCCGTATGCCGCTGCACACAATATGAATAAGCAATGAGGGTTGGTAATAAAGATCCCAATCAGATCTGTGTAACATGGGTCTTGTACTTTCCACCTGCCTCACCCTCTCCCCTCCTCCTCTCCCCTCCCCCTCCCCCCTCACCCCCTACACACATCCCTCTACCCAGCTGTCTGAGCACAGGTATGCTGCAAGGTGAAGGTCGTCTGGCAGCTGGCGTGTTCTGGGCCGGGAGACTATTGTTGATGGTTCACTGCTTGGGGCACAGCAGGAGGGATAAAAAAATGTACGACACACCGACATCTGTCAGTTCTCAAACATTTTAAATCCTGCTATTTCACTCAGGTTGTAATGTGAGGGAAATTCTATTAAAAAATATTCTTGACAATGAAGGACTTCTCAGTTGCCTATTTATGCCTGTTATAAATTGATGAATAATTTTCAAATTGTTTTCTCACTTTAATTATATGTTGTATTTTAGGTTAGGTTTTTTATAAAATCATGTTTTAATCAGTTGGCTTATATTGATTCAATTTAACATGTTTAAAATGCTAAAAGAAACTGAAAATGAAATATCTTAAATGAAATGTACCAAACAAATTCCTATTATCTAAACATAATCATGACTAGATTCACCAGTTTTTTGTAATCCTACATCTAAGCCTCCCTGCTCAGCATAACAACTGTTCAGCATTACAACTGTTCAGCATTACAACTGTTCAGCATTAAAACTGTTCAGCATTACAACTGTTCAGCATAACAACTGTTCAGCATTACAACTGTTCAGCATTACAACTGTTCAGCATTACAACTGTTCAGCATAACAACTGTTTAGCATTACAACTGTTCAGCATTACAACTGTTCAGCATTACAACTGTTCAGCATAACAACTGTTCAGCATAACAACTGTTTAGCATTACAACTGTTCAGCATTACAACTGTTCAGCATAACAACTGTTCAGCATAACAACTGTTCAGCATTACAACTGCTCAGCATTACAACTGTTCAGCATAACAACTGTTCAGCATTACAACTGCTCAGCATTACAACTGTTCAGCATTACAACTGTTCAGCATTACAACTGTTCAGCATTACAAGGACTAGGTAGTGATGAGATATAAATATGTACGGAATAATCTGCATAGATAACCATAGACTGAAAACACCTGTGATGTAACGCGAATTAGCCGGACCCAGTCAGCTGGGAGACGCATGCGAGGCCTGGGCTGGGAGTTGGCGCCAAATGGCCTAATCTCATAAAGCATGGAGATAACACAGCAGGTAGCCACGGAGAAGAGGTAGTGTTTACCTTTGGCTCCTGGCCATGAGGGGGGACCTGCATTGAGGGGGGACGTGGGGGAGGTGTGCGCCGTGAGTGTTGTATGTCAACACTGTAGTGGAGTACAGGAATAACCGACATAGCGCTGCCAATCATAATTTGTCACAACATTGCTGCACTTACGGTGTGCCCCGGTGCCAAAAAACGGTGATATTAACCTGTTATGTTGCCAATGTTGATAACTTGCGTCAGAACTGGGGCAATGCACTCTGAAGAGAGGGTAGTTTTGTTTATTTCCAAACTTGATACAGAAGTTCATGTTGAAAGGGAGGCTTCCTTCTCTGTGACAGCCGAATGTTTTTAGATAAGGTTATTTATGTGTTTGATGATTTTGAAAATGCAGATCCTGCTTTTTTGTCTGACACTAATCTATTTTAAGTGGGGGAAAATGTTCTCTCATGCCACCGAAGTATTGCGATGTTTTAACTGTCAGTGGGCAGAAAATAAAACAATCCTGAAATTTCATCTTCCTAGTTTGAGTATCAACCTGGTACTTTGTCTGAGACTTAGAACCCTGACAGTTTGGGTGTAGACCTCCACATCCCCCCCCCCCTCCCCAACACACACACACAGAAAGTTCATGGTCATAACATAGGAGGAAAAAATACCCTACCTGGAACACACTCGTATTCCACCTGGAAGTAGTTGCTATAGCGACCACAGGACTGGATGAGGCTCCCGTAGGTTCCTGTGGGGAGGTTGATGCTGCAGGACTCGCGCCCCACACACGGGTAGTTCTCATACTCAGGGAGGGTGCAGTCCCCCTCTCTATACTCGCAGGAATCAGTTGGGGAAAATCCATAGAATGCTTTAAGTATCCGGACCATGGCGCCGGCGCCACACACAATGTCAATGGACTTCTGTGTACTGTTGAAACAAGCTGCCAGCCTATCCCCTGGAATAATAAAACACTTTTGATAAGAAAATTGTAAAACTCTTTTGATAAGAAAATAATATATTACTCTCAATAAAAAAATAAGAAAACTCTTTTGATAAGAAAATAATTAAACTCTCTTAATAATAAAATAATAAAAGACACGATAAGAAAAAAAAAAAAACTCTTGATAACAAAATAATAAAACTCTCTTAATAAGAAAATACTAAAACACTTGATAAGAAAACATTGTGGCTAACTCAAATATTTTATTGAACACAGGATTGATTTTACAAGATACAATCTTTCTTCCCATGTACATAGCTATGCATGAATGTTCAGACATTAGGGGGCTGGAGAATGAATAAGGCAGATGTGTATACACAGTACATCATTGTATGCCTGGCATAGAAACGAAGTACATGTCTAGTAAGGTGACTCCAGTGTGTCATGGGTGTGGGAATACTGACATTCATCATTGTCTCTAGAAGCACTATTCCAACATCAAACCAGAATCAACGTATACAATTTTGAATAAATATGTGTTATTGTTGTGCTACAAGAGTACCGGCTGGCGTCAGGAATGTGCACAGCTGGGGTGCGGCAGCATGCACATCATGCTGCACTGCGGCGACGGAGATGTGGTGTACGACTTACCGTGTACTAGGGAGAGCCAGGAGATGAATGTAATGGCCGTCAAGACGCACAGGTTACTGTGAGGCATCTTCACTTGGTGTTTACCCATGGTTCCGTTACATCAGTTGGTCCTGCAGCGAAATTAAACATTTGTCAGCATCAAACACAAACAGAAAACAAGCCTTGATCCTGAACACTTGCATCTGAAACGAGTATTGATTGAAGCATTGAACAGTTCACAATGCGATATGTGACGGCAGTGTTATGGATTGAACGGCAGCATTAATTCAATGAATCGTGTCATGGTTTGTCAACAGGGAGCTGTGCAGGTACAACTGGATGGTCGGTGCCTGCTGGCACTGGCCCCAATAAAATAAGATACAATGTGGAATGTCTGCTAACCACAAACACGACAAGCCCCTGCACTGTCAGATTGTAATCATTTGCCAAAAATCACAAGCTTCCTGTGGTAGAGCTGGGAGAAAGATGTGCCTGGCGATAATTACCAGCGGCCATCACAAACAGGGCTTGTTAGGTCCTACCCGGTCCTAGAATATATGTATTGGATCCTCAAACAGATGTAGGGTCCTAGCACAGGTGGAATTGGTTGTTGTACCAAGTTGGACCGATGAGAAGGAACATGTGTACACCACACACAATCAGGTGAAAACAACAGACGGCAACGAGCCAAGTTGGCTGTTACCGACACAAGCAGTGAGAGGCTTGAACTGCAGCAGTGTTGTGCAGCAGTGTTGTGCAGGCCCACATCCAGACAAGGTGTAAACACAGTAGTACTATACAGCAATCCCAACATCAGAGCCAAACACTCACCCTCTCGCTCTCAAGTCTATCGTGGACTGAATAACGTCTGCTTGCTGCTCCAGCTTTTATACCAGCAGGCTCGTGCCAGCAGATTGTGGCTAATTAGAGCAGCAGGGATGTTTACACTGGCTATCTGAGCCTCCACTCGCTGGCCTGCCTGCCTGCGCATGTGCCGCTTCACTGGCCAATTCATCACCCAGCTCTCACTGTCCAGTAAGGAGCCTAGGATTCCTTTGATCTGCAAAGGTGTAAGACTGAATCCGCATCCCGTTACAACCAGGGCTTGTGAGCTGGTCTACGAGGAGACTCTGTTCCACCTGTCCCCGGCCCCAAATTACTCTTTGATGTTTGGCGTGTGCCGGTAACATGAAGGCAATAAAGGGTTCAGCTCCCCTTGTTTGATAAGTGTCGAGTCTCGAGTCCTGGCTCCCTACAGGAACAAGAGACAGACGCAGTGTACAGCCCCGGGCAACACCTGGTCGTGTGCCGGCTCGGGGCACTGTTATCAGCTATAATGGGCTTTGTTGTTTCGGCCCCTTTACTGCACTCGTCTTTTGTTAGCTGAAGGGGCAAAGAAGGAGGGATTCACAAACAGTTCATTGTTTAGGCACACTCCAAACACGTGCCACAGGTACAGGCCGGTGAACCAGATCGGATTTAGAGAGTGACTTGACGCATGCTTGCTGTTAGATGACATGCTTCACCCTCCTCTCTTTAAGGAACATTTCAGTATAGCATGTGTAGGTTGGTGTTATTGAACCTGCTGCAGTATGCTGGTAGCTTTTGAGACATACTTTCAAAGTTGTGTTCAGCCAACGCGCTCTGATGGGAGACATGATGCTCTCTCCGGAGCAGACGGGAATTCTATCAAATGTTTCATTCAGCTCACTGCAGCCATGTTAGGTGACTTACTGAAATAACACTGATTACAGAAAATACTCTCTGTCACAGAGTATGCTTTACCATCTTGAGTTTTATAATAATGATGATGATGATGATGATGATGATGATGATTACAGAAAACACTTTCTGTCACAGAGTATGCTTTACCATCTTGAGTTTTATAATAATGATGATGATGATGATGATGATGATGATGATGATTACAGAAAACACTCTCTGTCACAGAGTATGCTTTACCATCTTGAGTTTAATAATAATGATGATAATGATGATGATTTCAAGGGAGACTACCAGGTTACAATATAAATCAACATGTTTCTATTACTTCACTTTCTAATACAGCATCGAGAGAGGATTAATAGATCATTCATAGTTCTGGTTACCGGTTCTTGTTCTGCGATGACATAAGATGAGACTCGTGATTACAGTCAATTGACATCAGGCACTTTGTTTTAATGGACGTTAGGGATAATCACTTACATCAACCAAATATCTTTCAGCATATAAGGTTATTTTTAATATACAATAGGTAAGTTACATTCTGTATAAGCTTATGGTTGTTGCTCACAGCAACACATTTTCAGGCGAGAGTAACCTACCTGACGTTACTCTACAGTTTTATTACTGTCACACGTGGTCCTCCAGTTTTATTACAAACACACGTCTGTAACACAGTACAACACCCGTCCCTCAGATCAGTGGAAACCCCAGCAGCCTAATATGAACACTAGTTTACTCACTGAATCAGTGTAGTCCCCAGCAGCCTAATATGAACACTAGTTTACTCACTGAATCAGTGTAGTCCCCAACAGTAAATCTCCCAATGTGTCCCTTTAGAGAACCCTCGCAAAATGATTCCCATCTCACAGCGATTGACAGACCCCAGCCTGTAGGTAGCGTTACATTGCGTCCAGTAACCACTAGAAATGCTGTATTGAATTATTGATAGCTACAGACTGCAGTGTGACTTATCTCAGTACGTCAAAACTACTCCTGCTTCTGGTGAGTGCACAGCGTGTGATATAAGGGACTATCTCACCGGGGATATATGACGCTGTATCCACCCTTTAATCCCCTGGCCTCTGTCCCCTATTGTTACGAGTGTTATCACACCTAATCATGTCTTACACCTGATCATCCATACCACATGGCATGGCCTTCCATTGACTTGATCTCCGAAGTGGCCCAACTTGAACACAGTTCTACCTGCCCCACCTGGCTAGATTCAGGTGTGGCCAAGCTCTGCAGTGTTCCCAGGCTGGCCGAGCTGGTCACATGGGAAGGCTTGAGTTTCGGGGCATGTCCACACCAACTTCTACTGTGGTACATTCGCAACTGTTATCTTCCGTGTAGATATCATATTTCATATCCTAGGTTTGTTTATGTAAACTATGCAGTTAAAGATCTTATAATCCAATAGCACGTCAGCCCCTGCTGGCAGTCATGTATGAAGCTGGTGAAGTGCCTGTGGCTGTAACTGCAGTCTTGAAATGTTTTAAGTTATTATCAGCAGATATATTTGACAGTTTCTCATAATATTTAATTTCTAAATGAGTTATTATGTCCTTATATATCCATACATTTGTTTCTGTTATGATCTCTATTTCTAAAAGCGGTATAAAACAATACTCACTCACTCACTCACTGTTATGATCTATGCTATAATACATTAAACTTATGATGTCATTTAAATGATTAAGCATTATCTTTTCACAATGCAGAGGAAACTGGATCAGCTGAAAAGCATAATATTTAATACATTGTTGAATACATGGTGAAAATGCTAATCTCTGTGGTTGTATGCAATAATACCGGATGTAAAACACAGCCCGGCAGGACACCACTGTCTGATCTTACTCCAGCCACTGAAATGTGCCAGTACTACGAGAGTTAGTTGTGTACCCACAGCACATACAGCGCAGCACATGTGGCCGTCATTACCTGTTCTAATGCCATACACCTGGGCTTAATGGCCTTTTGAAGGCCAGGTAGAATTGTTAATAAGACGAGCGAAACCTTTATCACTGTTACAGTCATGTAGTTCTGAAATATGCTGGCCTGGGTTTCAATTAAGTTGGAACCTTTTAAATGTTATCCTTGGTTTTATGAAGATTTTATTTTTAATTTTTTTTATGAATCATTACCTGAAAGATCCTTTGTCAGGAATATATTTTTGTATGTTTTGATATGTTTGATATCTTAATTTTTGAATTTATTCTTTCACATTTTGCATTTGTGGAGATCTCATTAACCTTTGAAAGACTATGCCCTAATTAATCTATGAAAGAATATGTAATCTATCAGCAATTGTCTGACAATACAACTACCAGCCACGGGAAGTAAAGCACATTGTTATGGGAATTTACTAGTCACACCTTTAACAAGCAGGTGCTTGAAACAATGCCACCAAAGGTAATCCCACAGACAGATGCTTGTTTAACACCTGCAGGGCTGATTAACACCTCTGCTGCTAACCCTAAGCTGCTTCAAGTTGTTTGTGTGCAAACCATGTCTTCATTGTCAGCCCATTAAGAGTTGATACCTGTGCTTTTACACCTGTATGATCACAATGACTTCGTTTAGACTTTGTCTGTCCTCGTGCCCTGACCTTATGTTTGTTTGTTGTATGGTTTTAGTTACTAAATATAACTGTTCATTTTTAATCAGATTAAGTATATCTGCCGACAAGTCTCCACATAGACGGGAGAGACTGGTTGGACTTCTGGATGTCCATTTCCCTGTTGTTTCATTTCAGCATTGATTGACACTGCATTGATGCTACAGAGTTTTAAAAGCCACATAAATATAGTTAAATTAAGTAATTCCTAAAAAATTTAACTTTTGACAAGTCAATATATTGAAGATAGACCCATAATGACTGAAAGTGTACGTAACTACATCTGATCCATTACTGGTAGTTTATGTGTTGTTGTTCAATGATGAAATAACTTGGTTGTTTTATGACTTCACAATGACTATTGGGTACTGGTCGAATGTACCTAATATTATATACTACTCAAAAGATGTTAAGGAACACCTGATTCTTTCATACGACCATAGTAAATCTGACATGTCATAACAGATAAACTATAATCATATGGGGGCGGTCGGGTAGCCTAGTGGTTAAAGCGTTCGCTCGTCACGCCGAAGACCCGGGTTCGATTCCCGACATGGGTACAATGTGTGAAGCCCATTTCTGGTGTCCCCCGCCGTGATATTGCTGGAATATTGCTAAAAGCGGCGTAAAACCATACTCACTCACTCACTCACTATAATCATATGAAAGAATCAGGTGTTCTTTAACTTCTTTTGAGTAGTATATTTGGGATTACACTTTCTCAAATGGTTTAATAGGCATTACTTAGAAGTTGATGGATGACAAAGTAGACACATTTTATGGATAACAACTGCTATATTTTACTGTAATGCCTGATACCAATATATCCCATCCAGCCCATGCAAGTCTATAATGTTACTGCAGTATCACAAAATGAAGAGAGTCTCTGGGCTCCTTTTTAGTACATTTTTATTGAGATAATTTAACAACTGTATTTTTCTTAAAGATATGTTCATTTCAGAGACTAGATGTTAGTTTATGTAATTGGCCATTACGGTAAAATACAGAAGATATTTTCCATAAATTGTGTCTACTTTTGTACACTGTCTTAGAAAAGCACAGATTCTAGTACCTTTGGGGGTTGAGTCCCTTACGGCATTCGAACTCACACTCACTCATTGTTAGTTTTAATCAGTTTGAAGATCTTCACCGTGAACTATTCTAAATCAAGATGTGTCCTGTCAATAAATAAACCACTCACCGTGATCATGTACACTCCGTTGCGTGCAGTAACATGAGGTATAGGCGTGTTATTTCTTGTCACAAGGGCCAGCGTAGATATTTACAGACCTTTCATTAAATTTACACTTGTTTACAATGTCGCTGACAAAAACTGGCCATTGATTTCTACTCGTGATCAAACTAACCAGCTGACATTCCTATGCCGGCATTGTGGTCGAGGGAATGAGTGAAATATTCATCTACATTCATGTGCGTCTCGGTTGAATGACTAAGTACTTTCCCAAGAAGCATGAAACAGCCGTACGGATGGTGGGAAACTGTCTCCAACTTTTGTTGACAAGGCACGTTAATTACCTGATTGCCATTTGTCTATCTTTAGAATGAAGTTTCTTTGCACAAGGTAAATGTACCAAACAGCTACTTCTCGTTATGGTTTTTTGTTGGAGGGTCTGATAATTAAGTTTTGTCCACACTGACAGTCATGGCTGATCTGGAGGAATCATTTCTTACTTCCGAGGGTTTGAACTAACGATTGTCTTGAAAAGTTTTATTTTTGTTTTTATTCCCCAGGGACGTCAGTATGCTTTGTTATGATGACTAAGCATGGGGTGGGGCAGCCTGACAGATCAAGCGTCTGCTTGTCACACCGAAGACCCTGGTCGATTCCCCACATGGGTCACATACAATATGTGAAGCCAATTCCTGGTGTCTCCCGCCATGATATTGCTGCAATACTGCTAGAGCAGCATAAAACCTCACTCA